GAAAGCTAGAGTAGAATTGCATAATATGGTAGGAAAGGGATTTAACTTGGGGGGGAAGTTGAAGAGAGAATTTGAAAGTAAATACAACGAAGTTATCTCCCAGAGAGTGTACTTTCCTTTTCTTTAGAGACTCTGCCAAGAATGAGGAAGTGGAGCAAAGAGCCCAGCAGAAGAGAATGACCCTATAGGTCCCCTGCTGGTCTGATTTCTTCACTTTCAGTAGAACCATTTAAAAAAAAAAAAAGTATTTTTTATTGATGTTTTTACAGAGAGGAAGGGAGAGGGGGGATAGAGAGTTAGAAACATCAATGAGAGAGAAACATCAGTGTGCCCATAACAAAGGTATATTCCCTTGGCCGGAATCAAACCTGGGACCCTTCAGTCCACAGGCCAAGGCTCTATCCATTGAGCCAAACTGGTTAGGGCAGTAGAACCACTTTTAAGCTTCATTCATTTGCACAAAATCACTCAGAAAGTGTGTTTATAGATTTTAGAAAGTGAGAAGCACAGCATTTTAGATTTCTGGACAATCATGTACCCTCATTGTTCTGTCATTGGTAAGAAGACCAGTAAGATAGTCTTAAATCTAGTTCATATTTATGCTGGCCTCTAAATGTCCATTTTCCCAAAGCTCAAAGGGTTTGGCTTAGAATTTACTAAGAAACAATTGATTGATTTTATTTTTTAAGAATTGTGTATACTTTCAGCTGGAGATCAAAGGTACAGCAATTGGGAGTAACTCAAGAGATCTATTTTCAGAAAATTTCTATAAGCATTCAGTCCTCTATTTTCTTTTTGTTGGTGAATGTAGTGTCCCATTCCCTTTTCTTAAGCTTAAAGTGTTTTTTTTTTTCTTGTTTTTTTTTTTCTTTTTTCTTTTTTCTTTCTTTCTTATTAAAGTGATGGAATTGTTTTCTGTTAAGGTTACTTTAAAATGAAATTAATATGAAAATTACTTTTTGGCTTATAAGTTCCTAGAAGGCTTTGTTTAATTTGACTTATATAAAGCCCAATGCCAAAACTGTGCCATGCACACTAGAAAAAGAAAAAAAAAAAGTAGATGATAACTGCCCTAGAAGGGTTGGTTAAGGGAATTGCTAATAACTGGATCTTATATTTCTACTGATTTTTCACTATAATATTATAGTTTCTCTCTTCCCAGAATAAATGTGTTTTCTCAGATGAAGTTGAACATTTACAGATATTCTGATGGACTGATTCCTGTCATGTAGACCTGCTAATGCTTCTAAATCACTTGTAGAATTTCCCTACATGTCCTTTCAGGCTTTGAGCTTGTCTCATTGATCTCTTTTTGCCTCTTCATTGCCCCGTAGAATTTTGTTGCAGTACCAGACTGGGCCAATAGATGCTGCCACTTCATGATGTTAACAGTTGGATGGTTTCTTTTTCAGTGGTTAAGGCCTAAGATAAAGCATGTGTTGAGGGGAAAGTGGAGGGAGAGGAAGGGTGGTGGGTAACTGACATAGTCTCTCAGGAGAGTAATTTGGTTTTTAATTATGTGCTTATAAATTATTTGAATTTTACTACAGGTAAGATAGTAAGCAAAACCATAAAATATAAATTAATTTTAAAAAGACACTTCTATGTCACGTGTAGAAAAATTTTAGGCAGAAAAATCAATAATTGAGTAATAGAATGTAAAAAATAGTACCTAAAAGTATCTTGGACTCAGCATTTCTCTACAGTAATGGAAAGGGAAAGCTTAAAAATATGTTTGAAGAGTGTAAGGGACATAGGAAATGTAATTCTTTAAACTAGTGTTTCTCAAACTGGTGTGTAAGATAATTTTAAGTGGTACAGGATAAATGATATTTATTTCCATGATATAGATTCATTTGCCAGGTCATTATGTACTCATGGTTAATTACATTCGTTTTCCATTGATGATGATGATAAAAAATATATTTAATTGCTTATTTAAAGAAAAATATTATTTAAAGTCAATAACATTACAGGTGATATGGCAATAATTATGAAACTGGCACTCAGTAGAAATAATGTAAATAATGGATTATTTAAATAAGCAATAACCTTACAATTCTTTGTTTACTACATTCAACTTATCTCAATGTGGACTGAAAATGTGATATTTTACATCACTCCTAAGGGTATCCATGTAATATACTAATAAAAGGATAATATGCAAATTGTCCCCTCATCCAGGCATTTGACAGGGGAGTTTGACCAGGGGGTGGGATTTGCCCACCAACGTCCTGCATCCCCTCCCCCCAGCCAGCCTGGCTGGACCCCACCTGTGCACGAATTTGTACACCAAGCCTCTATTAGAAACCTGATTCACCAAGATTCACACAAGAATGAGACTACCTTTACTTGACTGCCAGTACTACCTTTGCTTCAGCCAGCCTGGAGCCACCTTTCTGCCTTCCCACGCTACAAAAGGCCTGGAAAGGCTGGGGCAGTTGTTGCCAGGGCAATGATGCAAGCCTGAGTTGTCGCCAGGGTGACAATGCAAGCTTCCCGCCCCCAGCTGCTCTGCACCTGTGTATGCAAATTAACACACCATCTTTGTTGGATTAATTTGCATGCTCACTCCTGATTGGCTGGTGGGTGTCTCAAAGATATGGCCAATTTGCATCTTTCTCTTTTATTAGTGTAGATAAGACTAGATAGAAGGTAGTAATAAGTTGAATGACTAATATTGTGCTGTAATTCTGTGTATTTTTGGATAACTTCTGTAAACATATTATGTAGAGACAAAAAAAACTATGTGGGAACAAAGTAAAATAAACTTGAAAATAAAGTAAATATTGCTGATAATTTGATTGTAGTAGGGAGTAAAGAAACATGCTAAACAACTGTATTTATGTGAACAATATGCTGTACCAAAGTTTGAATTTTTATTTTATCCAAATTATGCATCTCTGCACCTTTATTTAGAGGTCAAACTAACATTTAACATTCTATAACAAAATGAAATTCAAAATTTTGTGGCCTTCTGAGAATGTTAAATTCAGCATTGTACTTAATTTTCACAGGATATTTGCTATAGCTACCAAGAATTTCTAGACACTGAATGAGTCACAAAAGATTTAAATGGAATATTTTGCCTGTAACATATATGTATGCTGTTTTGAAAATAATTACTAATTTTCTGACTCATTTTACATCACAGTGGCTAAGAGTGGTCTTTGGAATTATACACAGATTGGTTTGGATCCTAGGTCTGTCATTTACTAGAATATTGCAAAAAATTCTGAGCCCTTAGTTTTCTCTCTTGTAAAATGGGGGGGGGGGGGGGGAAATAATCTGCAAAGTTATTTAAATCTGTCCATTGATATTGCTGTGTTAAGTGTATATTAACGAATCTTGTTTAGGCCAGACTGTTCTCTAGTCTAGATCATGCTCCAAATCCTCTTTGCACCAAATCCACCACCAGAACCCTTTCTTCCTTGAGAACCAGGAAAGGAAACATTATACTTGGCAAGTGACTAACCCCACCCCCTCATCCCCCAATTAACCTGCAGGGAAGGACCCCCAGTGAGTGGTGAGATAAGCAATAAAATACCTTTATCAGTATAAATTTACAACCTTACCCATCACCTGTTAATAATTTTAGATAATGTCCTATTAATTAAAAAATAAATTGCAACTATAAATATTCAATATTGTTTTTGCTTTTGAATTTGACAGTATCCGTATCAGTTGCATAAAACCAAGCTGAAGTGGAGGGGGAATCTTTTCCTGAACTTTCTACAGAATGTAATTTAGTTGACAATGTATTACAACTAAATATTTTTTGAATGGGAGTAATGTATACCAATTAACTTGTAATTTTTCAGGCCACATCTAAGGCTGTGTGTGTGTGTGTGTGTGTGGTGGGGGAGGCTGCTAGTTGAATTATAGGCTATGTGGTTAGAGACCACTGGGTTTGTCCCTGGGAAAGTTATTTAGGTTTCTTTGGGCCTCAGTTTACTTAGCTCTTATACCTGTTTAAATAATCATTGTAGAGTTATGAAATTAAATGAACTCACAGTACAAGTGGCCAGTATAAAGACTGATGGCCTTGGCCGCTCAGTAAGTTCTCAAAGAAGATGCTCCAGAAATAGACAATAGGTTTTAGGAGGAGGTGATTAAATGGATGCAAAATGCATGTATTGTTTATTGTCCACTTTGTGTCAGGCTCTGGCTGTGATCAACCCGTGTGCAATCCTATGTGGGTGCATAATACATGCGCAGAGAAGGCTCAGGCACGAAATGTCACTTCAGCAATGTGCCTGGGGAAGCTCTGACGCTGCCTTGGAAGTCAGTCCGCATCACTGCCTGACCTTTGGGCCTCTGGGAGGGATGCCTATACCTGCGCCCAGAGCTGGAAAGGGCCCAGGCCCTTCCCAGCACAGCCCATCCCCAGACTGCTCACCCGTTCCTAGCATACATCCTCACCAAAAAGGGCATTTCTTCCCTTCCGTGAAAGCTCCCCAGTCAGGCCTGGGTTCCTTTCTATTCCACGTTGTTGGGAGTAGGCGAAGTCCCTCTTGTCTCCACCCCTGGGTAAGTGGAAAGCAGTCCACCAGGACGTCCGCAGTGGCCTACACCAGGGGACAGGGCATTGGCAGAACGAGAGGCCATTCGGTGACTGCCCCGCAGGAGCAGGTGGGGACCGACAGCAATTCCCTGATCCCAGCAGGGGCTTGCGGTCTCGGGTCCCTCCCCCCACCTGGAGGTCGCCCAGGCCGGCCGGTGCCTGGACAGCTGGGGGCGGGGTGGGGACGGCGCCAGCAGCGCGGGGATCACCGCGGCGCCACCGGGGGGACGCCCGGGATTCCCGAGCGGGTCCCCACGCAGGACCGCAAACGATGACCACGGGCGATCGTCCCCCGAGATCGAATAAAAAAAGGGGCACCGCCGGCCCTCGCAGCCTGCCTGCCCCCAGGCCTCCTGCAGCCTCCGGAGTCCTCCGCCCCCCGCCCCGCGCGCAAGTGCGAGGCGGCGGCGCACGGCGCACGCTCCGCGCCCGGGGCTTCCGCGCAAAACTTCGGGTCCGTCCACGTGAACTTGTCGCTCCCCTTTCCGCGGGGGACGCAGCTTTGGGGGACGCCGGGGAGGGACGACGGTGGCGGCGGCGGGGCGCGCCTGGTCTTTTTCTTTTCTTCTCCTTTTTTCCCCCCCACCCTTGTCGCCAGTGCGGCGTTTTGGCTCCTCTCCTTTCCTCCTCCCCCTCCGAGCCGGCTGGTCCCCCGCCCCGTTGCTCCCCCACTTGAGTTCGCTCCTTGTTGGAGGGGGGTGACCGAAGGGGATGTCCTGTTTCCACCAGAGGCACAGCGCGAAGGGGAAAGTTCGACCCTGGAAAGAACGACCCTAAATCCCTACGTACGGACCCACGGATCCGCTGCGGGGACAGAGCCTTGAACTTCAGGATCCCGCGGCGATCGGGGCGGCAGAAGGTGAGTGTCCCTTCTTTCCACCCGCCCCCCCCCCCCCCCCCCCCGTCTGGAGCCTGGAGCTCGCCCGCTGGGGTTCAGGGCTGAAGGGGCCCGTCCACTCTACCGGGGGAAGTGCGCGGGGCGCTGGGGACCGAGGGCGCGGAGCGGGACAGCGCGGGCGCCGGGGGTCCCCGCAGGCATCGGGGTCCCCGCGGGCCCTCAGAGGCTGGGTGCCGCACCCCGCAGGGCCCCGGCCGCTCGGGCTTCGGCGTTACCTTCTGGGCTGGAGCCGGCCCCGCGCCCCGGGAGGGAGGCCGGGCTGAGCCTTCCAGCCGCCTGCGGGCGCGTCGGAGCCCGTGCAGAGCCCGGCGCGCCGCTCGCTACCTGCACCCCGTCCCGCTCCTCTGGGTCTCCCCTCCATCCCGAGACAGTCATTACTTCGGGACGACCCCCTAGAGATGACTGTGGCTCGAGGATGCCGATCCAGGTCCCGGGAAGGCCCCGGGCGCCTGGGGTTTCCACGCTGCCCGGCGGGCGCCTGTGTACTCTCAGCTCAGTGCCTGTGGCTCTGAGTCTCCAGGCGGGACCCGGCTGCAGCCCGCGGCCATCGCACTGGCACGGTGTTTGGTTTTTGTGCGGCGCGGTCAGGGTCAGCCCACCTCCCGCAGTTTGCACCGATCCAGGGTCCGGGGAACCACAGGCTCCTCCTAGTCAGAGCAGTTGTTCCTTGCCTCGGGACGCGGATGCCCCGGAGGGACTGATTATAACTTCTCCAAACCGAGGGACCTGGCTGGAAGAGCAGGTTTTTCTCTCTGTTCCCAAGCCTTGTAGTTCGGGGCTGGGTGGCCGTGGGACCGGGACCGGCTCCGCGCCTTCGCATCGCTGAGCGAGGTTTGGGATTTGGAAGCAGCAGACCATGTGCGCGCAGCAGCCAGAACTTTGGTTCGGTGGCACTTGAAAGATGCTTCTTTCTTTGCACGCGTTATTCGCAACAGCTTGGAGCTATTAGGGCATTTTCCGACCCGGTCCTTTGGCAGAGAGAGAGTGGTGGCTGAATTTTTGTCATCTCTTCCCCTAGGTGGGGTGATGGTGTCTCCCTTCACTTCTAGCTCTGCTTCTTTCCCTTGAAGACTAGGGGGGGTTGTGCTTTGGGTGTGTATGTTTGTGTGTGTGTGTGTGTGTGTGGGGGGGGTGTTTGGAGACAGTCTTGTCTCCCCTCTCCCCTGAACTGCGGAGCAGGCAGTGGTGTCCCAGTCCTAGCCGGAGGCAATTGGGGGGGGGGGGGGGGGGGAAAGGCGCAGGTCCCTGGCCCTGTCCGCCCAGGTGCGGGCGAGGGAAGGGGCGTGTGTTTTGGTTTCAGGGCAGTTCCACGTGGAGCACCTCCGTGTGCGTGTGTCTGGTGCACTTGATCTGTGCGGAGGTAACAGGAGTCTCTCGTGTTCAAACCCAGTGGGCTGTTGGCCATTCATTTGCTTTCCTGGCTGTCATTACAGACACTTCCAAAATCTGATACCTACGAGAACCCACAGGTTAGGTTTCACATTAAGAGCTCATACTTAACAGTTTTCTTTCTCCCTCACCCCTTCTGGCGTGGCACCCTGGGATCAGCGTAACTGACGGAGCGAAATGTATCTTCTGGAATATGGCATTCCGTTCCTCTCCCCATCAGCAGCCGCTTCTCGCACCCTGGGGCGGGCGGGCGGGCGCTGGTCGGTCTCAGCGGGGCCCCTGCGGAGTTAGGTGGGGAGTCAGGAGCGTTTTAGCAGCCCAGGGCTCCCCTTCAGCAGCTTCTGAAGTTTCCTTTAGGCTTGGGTGACTGACAGTCCTGCAAGTGGTGTTTTTTTCTTTGTTGGGCTGTCTTCGTTGCGTTTTTAAAACCTCCTCGGGACAAGGATTGTACCCTTTTTTCCTTCCGGGGGGAGCTTCCTAAGCAGGAACATTGTTTTATTTTATTTTATTTTAAACTATTTCTGAACAGTTTGTATAATAATTTCTGGACAGCCAAAAAGTAGGAAAGGGTGTGGAGGGGAAGAATACTAGAACAAAATACCGGATACGTGTGGTATGGTGCATTTTAGGACTGCATTCGAAGGCATTTGTGTATTTTTTTTTTTTTAAATAACTATCTTAAGAAATAGGAAGCAGTAGTAACAAGAGACAAACTGTTCTGTGTGGGGCTAGACTGCCAGAGTCTAATTTTTATGGCAACAATACCAAACGCAGATATAACTGCATCCAATTTTATTGTTATTATAAACCATAAAATAGCTTGTTCCACCTGATTAAAAGTTGTAAGCCATTCAGAGTTACACCAACCTCTAGAAACGACTGCTCGAGATAGTAAAAACCTTTGACAGTTACAGCTTTCAAAATAACATAATTAGATTATCTGGAAACTGTTCGCTTTTTTTATTATTAGTAAGGGCTATAGCCTTGTCTTTCATAACAAATGAGGGTCTAAAATCAATGTGGTTTTCAAAAGCCTGTTTTCCTTTGTCAAATTCCTGAAAATAACATGCTTCAACATTTTAAGGCCATCATAATTAGAGGTAGTTTCTTAAACAACTGAAATAAAAAACACACCTTGATTATCTTTATTTTATTGGATATTAAAAAAACTTAATTTCTTCTGTACAAAATGAAAAGTTTTATGTATATGTATAGATAAATAGTTAATATGTATTTTAAATAACATGTTCAATTTTAAAAATTAAAAAAGCAAGGTTTGTTTAAAAATTGATTCAAGAACAATTATTATTCTTATTAAAAATACAGAGACTGAATTCTAGAGGATTTGTAGAAGCTAGTTGAAAACTTTGTCTGCATAAAAGTTTCTTTTTTTGAGGGAAGTCGCAAGATGAGTTTTTCATTTTGCTATAAATTTTCTTTTAAAAAAAACCTCTTTGATTTAAAAAGAAAAAGAAAAACAAGTTCTCCGTATCTAAGAGTTTCCTTTTTTTATTTATATTGTGATTTGGGGTGTAAATAAATTTTACATAGCCACGAGAAATAGAGTGTCCAGTTTCATGTTTTCAATCTCTGTTGCAAGCTTTAAATGACTGATGCCATATCTAAAAATATATTTGTGTGGCTTGGTATTTCATTTTTTAAAAATTTATGCATTGGAATTGAATTATTCAGAAGTTTTAGAAAGTTAGAATGATAAACACACACACACACACACACACACACACACACACACAACCACATAACTATTGTTATGAAAAGTTAGGAGGTTGGAAAGTTCACTAACCCTCAAATAATAAAATTAAACTATTTCACCCGATGGAACTCTTTATGTAGAATTCAAGAAGAGGGGAGATAATTCTTTTCAAGACTTAGTGAAGTGTTAAGAAATTCAAGAGTGCAAGTAGTTATTATGTTTTCTCATTATAATTTTCCCCCTTCTCGGAGGTAAATGCAGGAACACTGAGCAGCCAGTAAAAGCAGGCCCCCCTCTTTAAGGAGTTTATTCACCATAGTTCTGTATTGCAGCTGCTGATCATATTTCATGGAGCTGTTAAAGCACTTAAAACCTAAAATTAGGTACTGTCTGGTTGTAAATATTTCAGATCACTCATTTAAGAAACAAACAGAAGAGCATGCTATCAAAGTAGAAGACGTTTCGAATCCTCTCATTGAAGAGCTAAACAAACTACCAAACGCCTTATTGTTTTCACTGAGAACATAATCATGACAGTTTCTTTTACAAATGGATATTATTCTTACACATTCTAAACACTTATAATATGTCTCCCTGTAGAGTGTCTTAAACCAACTGTATTCAGAAATACAGTTGGGGATTTTATTACAATGGTTACTAGGTGAATGAAATCAACACCAAGGAGGCATGGGATGTAGTTGCAGTGTACCTGCTTCTCGAGTGAATTTTTCCCAGCGAAGTAAGAAATAACATGCTCTTTCAGGCATTCGTTCTAGAAATGGGTGAGATGCAATGAGTATTTAATCACAGTATCTGCAATACTGCATTTTGCAGTTAGATGTGTTTTCACTGAATATTCATTAAACCGTACCTGGAGCTAAACTTGTTGTCATTGATCTTGAACTCAAGTGGAAGAATCACCTATTCACACGCAGAAAAAGCAAGTTCGCTTGCTTTTGAGTTTGAAGACTTTGTAAACATTACTGTCACCTAGCTTTACATGTGGCCCTGCACATGAATATAATAAGCCTTCACGATACACCGTTTTGCTCTTGAAAGTTTGGCTGTTCTTATCACATCCCCATCCATGTTTTCACTAGGAGAGAAGTACTGAAAGTGAATAGCGCTTTTCTTATTTCCCCAACGCTTTTCCCTCTTTCAGAAAAAGAGATGAAACAGATTAATTTAAAAATAGAAACCATTTTAAGTTATCAAAACCACATTTATATGGTGTTTAAAACAGTTTCAGAGAGCGAACCTCTGAGTCTCAGGGTAACCTTTTCTGTCATTGAAAGGTGCTAATTGATCTTAGGGCACTGACATAATAGTACAGTTTGATATTTGAAACCTTTCAGCATTGGTCTGGCCCTTTCCTCACCCTGAGATTTCAGTGCATGGCTGATGAAGAATAACACCATATTAAAATGCCAGAAATTCTAAATTTCCCCCATATGAAACATTTTAATACAAAATAGTCACATTTTAAAGCTTTTATTTATGTACAGTGGTGAATATATTTTAATGTATGAACAAAGGATGCATTATCATGTTAGGATTTTTTAATATTATTTAATCACAGGTACATTTTTTTAGATTGAACTTTTTCAATCTAAAAAACTCGAAATTGCTATGCTCACATTGGAATACTAGTAATTTCAAAGTGAAGTTTTATTAAGCCAATATAAAATAGCCATCTTGAAATTTCATATCTGAAGTATATATTTCTTACATATATGTATATCTTAAAGAATATTTTAAAATAAAAGTTGCCAGTTTGATTTTTGTACAGTTGCAATTTTTCTGCTTAATCATCAACATCACTCAATCCTCATCATCAAATCATAGCTGACTTTTACTT